CCTGACTCGCAGGACCTTCTTATCATGCTTATTTTCTGTTATTTTTCATTCCATTTCAATGACTTAAGTCTAAAAGTTCTTGTTCTTCTTCCTGTATGGTAATTTGGTTCTCTATCACAGTAGGAGTACTTTAAATGCTTGTGTCGACAGCAAAGCAAAAACTAGCATTTTTTTTACCAAGGTAGAAAATAGAAATTCTAAACAAAGTAGACCCTTGACCACCACCACTAGTAATGTTTTCTCTATCCCAATAATTTGCCATGAGATGTGATACTCGTGTCACCATTAACCAAGAAATTTTATCAAAGAAAGATAAGCCAGTATAACATGATTTACATTTGGAAAGATCTGGGTTGCATTTTCATTCTGCTTTCTATTTATGTTCGTCATTGGTTACTCTTGGTTGCTCTTTCCCCTTAGAACAGTTGTTATAAGATACTGAAGAGCGCTGAGTTCACGTTAACAGGGTTTTTTTGAACACACATTCTACGTTTCTTCTCCAGCTCTAGGCTGCTATCCCAGAACATGTCTTGTTCATTGAGAATCCTCATGCCTGAGCTTGCAATTTCGAAATATAACCCATTTTTTTGGTATTCTGGGATGGAAATTTTTTAAGCAGCCTCATTTCATTTTAGTAATGGATGTGGTAATTTTCAGTGCGTTGTCCTTGTTCCCATGAGGTATTATGTCTCTGTCCTCATACACAGCATTATTCTTACAGGAAAAAATGATGCAAAAGCTAATTTAGTGTTTGGTCTGTCCTCCTAATTTCTACCCCTTGTTGACACCAGTTCTTCAGTTCTTGCTCTTTATTTCTTGTTGAGAAACCTTTTGTTTGCCTGTGAGTTCCCATTTTCCTGGCCTACTGGCAGTTTTCATTTAACTTCTGCGGCCTGACCTCTAAGTGCCAGCTCTCTTTGCTGATCAGTCCCTTTTTCCATTCCTTGTAGGTTCTCTGCTTTCTCTTAATATCCTGCTTTGAGGTGCATTCTCATGCAGGTAGGTCTGTAGCCCTTTCCTGTCCCCTTTTTTCCTTTACTTGGATGGAAAAACTCAGATAGCATTTGATTTAAAGTAAATCCATGCCTTCCATACACTCAAATCCAATTGTGTATGTGTTTCATATATCTTTGGATGAAATTTGGGCTTATGGCTTATTGCTGAACAGGCAAAGGTGGGATTGCTCTTGAAATGTAAAGAAAGCTATTAGTTATTTTTGAGTTACGCAGGTGGTGAGGCCTGTACCCCCAGAAGGTTAAGTAAGTTTGAATTGCCTTTGGCAATTATTATATGTTGTATAGGTTGCTCACTTCCAGATGTTTGGGGTTTTTTTTTCTTCATGTAAAACCATGGGAGTTTTAAAAACTGGCATTTAAATCACCCGAATCAGTTTTTTTTTTCTTTTTTCCTGATGCTAGGTATGTTTATACAAATACAATCAGTTTTGTTAGAACGTCAATAATTTTGGAAATTTCCTGAAATTCTTCCAAGGTTTCACTTTCTTTTTTTAAAAAGAAAAAAAGTATGCTGATGTTTCTTGTCTCTTTGTGTTGAGAGACAAACCTGTTTGGCAGCTTTTCTTTTGAAAACCCAAATGCATATGATGACAGTTCACTTGTCCCTTCCTCCAAGTGGTTGGGAAAGCTATTACATGAATGCAAAGGCTGCTTTTTGGAGCCACAGTAATAACTTCTGAATCTTCATATTATCAAGGATGAAAAAGATGACTTAATTACTCAATCACTGGCAGTTTTAGAATACAGTCTGAAGTATTTATGTGTACGTCTGTGTCACTGAAACTACCTTCAGAAGGCTGTAGTCAGGACTCTGGGTATAAGCCTGCATTTAAGTTTCTGTGAAGTAAGGTAGTGTGTGGATTTACAGTCTGTCAGCCACTTTGTGTGTACTATGCCATGAACACATTTGTACTATATGGCCAAGCCACAGAATTGCCCAGCTGTATGTGAAGGCAGTAATCTGTGCAGATGGACACGGCTGAAACACTTGGGTCCAAGAACCGGCACAGGCACTTCACGTTTGGACTCGAGTCTTTCTGAGTTAGACATTTAGCAAAGCTACTGAGGATTTTTTCTGGCTTCTGATATCAAAATGGGGCTCAGTGCTCTGCCATGTTGATTTTGATAGTGTTAATCCTGGAGCTAATATAAATTTTAAATTATACATTTATGAATTTCATTTAAATGTAATTGGAACTCCTCAGTATGGTTTAATGGTGATGTATAATGCTTGTCTCTTTCTTATCCTTGGAGGCAGGGGGGGAATCTCTGAATAAAAGTCCTTTCTTTGTTGGTTCTTTTTATTTGGGAATAGCTATTTTCTTTTCTGGGTCTGCCTGAAATTTCCAAAGTCCACCTCTCATATGTGTCTTAGTGCTTGATGAGGTGATAGCAAGAGAGAGATTTGTAAGTCTTTCACTGTGTTTGTTAGCCAAGGCATCCTTTAGTATTTCTGTTGCGAGATTTTGAAAGCATGGATAATAGTATTTAGTAACTAAAAGTTTGAAAAACTTATTAATGGACTGTTTATGTTTTTATTGTTTTCCTTTGCTTTAATGAGATTGAAACCAATTTAGTGTCATTAGTAAATGCCTGAGCATGTTCTTCAAAATGAGCATTCAACACTATGGTGGCGAGTCTGGGGGTTATATCTTTAATCTGATGGCACTTTAAGTTGTTTGGTTTACTTTTTAACTTCATCATGGATCAGTGGGTGTTTCTGTAACATATGGCATTGTATGTTGAAAGTGGATGTTTACATCTGGTATGCATTGGAAGATTAAGGTAGAGAGGATGAAGTTTTGGGCAAGTATGTGTTTTTTGGATGAAGGATAAAGTGAGAATACTTTTATTTCCTCTTAGATTTGAAACATATCATTCTAGCAATGCCTTTGAAACTCTGCCAGCTTTGCCAACTGTAACATTTATGGGATTTTGGACCTAAACTGAATTAGAAAACTGTTTTTAGTGGCAGAGAAAAAGGTTAGTGCATGAAAATAGCTAGGCCTATTATTGACTGCATGTGGTCAGTGGTTTGGCTGAATGTAGGTGGCTCTCTTCCTGTCACTGTTTTCAAGCATATGGCTTTGTTTGTGAATATAAAACTCTTTAAAAACGAGTTCTACTGCAGTTCTTTTGCACAGTAGTCTTTTGCTATTTAGTAGTGATTACTTTGCTTTTGCCATTCATTTTCAATCTTGTAAGAAAAAAAAACCAAACAACTTTTTAAATAAGCTTATGATTCCTGTTGACACCAAAACTAAGAGGTTTGAAGAATGTGGTGATCTGTGTATAGCAGCTGCTTCTGTCAGTAATATTTTCTAAAAGGATGCATACGCTATGTTGTTGATTCTTTATTGTAGTTAATGCTGGGATTGTTTGCAGTGGGCAGTGGGCAGAAGCTCCTTTTAAATGTGCATATGTATTTTGTTTAATTAGTACTTTTGTGAAAATCTCTAATACTGAATTACTACTTCCCTTTTTTTCTTTTTCATGCTTTCAGTCTTGAAAGTAATATTTATAGTAGGTTTTTCCCAAGGTCAGTTTCAGATTTGCCATTTCTTTTTCCCATTGTATAGAAGACAGCTTGAAATCAACCTAGTGTTTTGTTTTCTTTGGGTGTAGTATACAAGGTGCTACCTCAGAGCTCAGGGAATAGCAAATTTTCTAGCTCCTGCTGCAGAGAGAGCATAAGGGCACAACAGGTTCTGTTTAGCTTTAACTTAAACAGTGTTACCCTATCTATATCTTTTAAAAAAAATCTGGGTGATAGAGCTGTAAATTGTGCAGATTGTGTACATTGTCTGGTGTTTCCAGTGTAGAAAATTCTAGTGAATCTTGTTTTAGCAGCTATCAGATGCAAGAGCTGGTTTCATTCAGCCGAGAGCAAAGTACGTTTGGTTCTGCCAGATGCTGAGAACTGTAGTAAGAATTAGGGGCACCAAGCACTTCATGAGTTGGTTCCATTGCTGTAAAGTACTTAAACAAAGCAAAACTGTTTACAGTTTCCCCATGTTTGAGGAAAATAATTTATAGAATTATCCAATAAACAATGAGAGAACCCTTAGAGCTGCTTAATATATTTGTCAGTCAGTCCTTAAAGTGCATCCTGGTCCCACAGGCCAGACACAAGGAAAATCACTCTGTTGCACAAGTGAGGCTACTTGTGTGATCACGTCGTGCAGACTTTTAAGAACTTCATTTGTTATCGACATAAAAAAATTATACAGTACTACTTAAAACACAAAATGTACTTTTAAAATTCTTAAAATGTTAAAAAAGAAAATCTCTAGAAACTGTAATTATTGCAACTATAGGTTAGAACTTACTGTAATATCTTCCTACAATAAAACATAACAATGTAACTTACAGGTTACTAAGAAATTTCTTTTCTAATTTAAACTAGGTCTTTTGAATTGTATTATGAAGACAGAGCTGTTCCTAAGCATGCTTAGTGAAAGACTGTCACTAAGCAAGAAGTGCTATGCATGTACTTGTAAGTCTCGTTGCAAGAGAATCTTAAGTAAGGTGGAGATAAGCATTGCATCCTCAAATGTTAAAAAAATTCATTTGAATTTGCATGAGTTTGGGGTCATGCAAAATGCCCTCAATAACAGCAAGCTATGTAATGTGTTGTGGTTTGGGTTTTGGGTTTTTTTCCTAGTTCTAATTTAGGACCAGGAAACTGCTTGATATTTTTGAGCGTAGTAATTGTCACAATTCAGGAATGCTCTATCTTGAGAGATCTCTCATTTAAACATACTGCCTAACTGATAACTGTTCCTCATCAAAAAGATTTGAAATATGAAGATGGAGATTATTAGTATCAGTTCTGAACATGGATTGATAGAACAGTATCTTAAGAGAAAAACAGCAAAGCTAACTGGTGACCTCTGGTTTTGATTTATGTGATATTCTTTTGTGGTCTTGTTTGTGAAAATAATTTATATTAATAATTCTCAATGCCTCCTGTTTGGATTGTAGAGGTTGGAGACCTGAGGGAGCTGCAAACACTGGACATTTCAACCAATCGCTTGATAACGTTACCTGAAAGGCTGCATATGTGCCTTTCGCTGCAGTACTTGACTGCAGATCGAAACCACCTGTGGTATGTTCCCCGCCACCTGTGCCAACTACCAAGCCTCAATGAGCTCTCCATGGCTGGAAACCGCCTTGCGTTTTTGCCACTTGGTGAGTCACCACTGTTATTGGGCTGGGGGGTGGGTCAGAGAAGAGACAGGAAAACAAACTTTCTGTCCCAAAAAGAAAAAAAAATATGCAACAAGTAACTCTCTTTGCTGGTCGGTACAAACTCTGTTTATGGAATTGTCACAGTGATCATATTGTTGGCAAATATGTTAATAAACAAAAAAAAATGCAGGTTAAGGTTTCGTGTCTGTTTTAAAGCAATAGGTCAGCTATCAAATTTGCTTTATTTTTAGCTAACTGAGGGGGAAAAAGTTTAAATGATGTTGTGTTTAAATATAGTACTATGTAATCTGAGTTCCACTACTTTGGGTAACGATCTGTTTCTGTTCTGCTGGATCTGATGATTTAACTAATATTCTTCAGCTACGGTTTAAAACTTGCTGTGGAATCCCAGTAACTCCACAGAAATTATCTTTGATCATTAGGAGTGTCAGTACTGCATAATCTAGCAAAGGTTTAGTTTGTGCTGCGTATAAGCATGCATCAAAACTTTCACGGTAGTAGCACAGGAAAGAATTTATCTGACTTTCTCTCAACCCTTTCAAGGTTTGGAATTGTCAAAACAGGCCTTCAAGAGTAGGAGGTGCAGTCAGTGTGTGGTGGTTTGTTGTGGGAAGTAGTTGTGTTGTCAGTAAGTGTGGACTGCATATTCTGTTTGTGAAAAGCAAGTCCTCTTCCACATGTTTGTTACTTTTTAACCCTGCCACAGACTAATCTCTGCTAAAATACAGATGCACATGCAGATCTGTCATGTCATTTGAATAGCCATTAATAGTTTTTCTAGAATACAGTCAGAGTTTGGTGTTAATTAGGTGCAGATGAAGTTATGATAATAACACTGAAAAGAAGCTGAAAATTGAGGTGGCTAAAAATGAGATGATAATTTCTAAATTAATTACATTGTATAGGTTTAACTTAATTTTTTCAGTACTAGCAATTTACTCTTTAAAGAAGTGTATGATCTTTCTGATTTTCTTAGCACCTTAGTTTGTATTGCTGGAAAGTAAGTGCAAATAATGTCTCCAGATATAGTGTTTTAGTTATGTCCCAACATACGTTGTTATATAAATGAAGAGTTCCAGGATGCATCATCCAGATTTCACAGTACTAACTAAACCAAGCAAAGTTTTTTCCCCTATTTTGGCAAATATTTCTAACTCCATTTCATGAGACAGGAAGTTGAATCTTTTTCATTTTGCAGAAATAAGATGCTGTTTAGTAAGATGAGATGTGAAATATTAAAGGGTAAAAGTTTTTGCTACTTTTGTGCTAGTAGCTTATCTGTGAGTGAGCTATGACCTGGATGAGCCATAGATCTGCTGAAGTGTTTTAAGTTCAAAAGGAGGAAATAAATCTCTAATATAATGACACACCTTCTTTTTTCTTTATTTTTAGACTCAAATTCAAAACATTCAAAAGGAACTTTTAAAATAACGGGAAACATCAAAGACTGTCAATTGACCTTGTTCAGTAGTTCTTAATAGTGACTCACTGGTGAACATTTGGAGATAATTTGCTATCTGTGGATATGAAACTGAATCATAAATCCTAGAGTTCAGAGGAAGAGCAGCACAGTATAAATGTAAATGTTTAATCCTTCCTCTGAAGAATCAGAAAGCTTCAGAGTGGTCAAGATGTGATGAAATAAAGTAGAAGAGAGCATTAGTGTATTGAAAAGCAAAAAGATTAAATCTATCTTCTGTTGTATGGGAAAATATTTTTCTTGGAGTATTACTGAAGTTAAGGTACAATTGTAGCATTATTTCTGCTAGCTGCACATGTTGCCTAATGGGTTTTTTGTGTGTATTCTTATATCCAACTTTACTAGTTAATGACTGAGTAAGGACGTTAAATAACAGTGAAAGATACTGTAGAAATATCTACAAGTGATATTCAAGCAAGAATTGTCAAACAATTTTTTTTCAATTAGGGAGCTGAGTTGAAAAGCAGACATTTTATTCATCTCCTGACAGAATGGATTTTTTCTCTTCTATTAGACATGTCCATGTTAGAATAAATACGTTTGGAACATATTGCTTAATGCTTTTTAAAGTGTGATTTACTTTATTTCATATGGTGGTTGACATCTACTATGCCAAGGAATCCATTCTTCCTCATCTAAGTATGTCCCTTGTAGCTGCCAGTAGACCCTCTTGTTAAGTGTAATGGAAATACGCTTTTTCCTGTTTCTAGATTGATAGGTGTAAGACTTATTCCAGCAGTACCACAGTACTTTCATGGTACTGCTGGATAGGTACTATGGAGTTTTTTGTCCTGTACATTCTTTTAAATTTGCGGGCACATGCGTCTTAAGAAAAAAAAGCATAACACTACTAATCAATTTTACAAAATACAGTAAAAATACCTGATGCCACTCTCTGACTTTCAGAACTGGTACATAAACAAGCAGATGGGTAAAAAAAAATGAATTAGTCATTTGTTCTGCAAAATATACTTAATTCTTGGATATGCCAGTATTTTTAAAAAACTATTATTTCCAGTTTATATTCAAAGAAACAAGACTGCGTGGATCTGAGCCTTTGGGCCTTCCTAATAAATTTATTAAAAAAAAAACCACCCCTTATTTCCAGTTTATATTCAAAGAAACAAGACTGCGTGGATCTGAGCCTTTGGGCCTTCCTAATAAATTTATTTAAAAAAAAACCCACCCCAAATATTGTGTGTAAGTTGAACTGTAAACTGCATCCTGGACAGTCCTGTTATTGTCAGCGTAGCTTTCATGCTGCCCTAATAAATGGTCTTAGGAATTCTGTTCTTGAATGGCAGATGGAACTCCTGATCATTTTATATCAATCCACTTACAATATAAATTATCCTTTGATAGAAATTTAACTTTAAAATTTTACTGTTAGCAAATGCTCCAATGCCTGAAAACAAATTCTTTTGCAAGCAGAAATTTGAATCTGATGACATCGCAAAAATAAAAATTATTTATGTAATAAAGTACAAATATAATTAGGCCATAAATTCTCAAGTGTACTGGCAGTACAGGGGATGTTATGACAGCAAATATTCAGTGTTATATCACTTTATTGAGGGTTTATGTGCACTTTTTGTTTAGAAAATGGGTCTAGTAATTATCAGTGCACAGTAAACAAAGGTCTTATTCTACCTCAGTATATGCTGCTTTTGTGTCCTTGCCCTCACAGTATGGTTAAAAGAGCATCAGTGCAGACACACAAGAGCTTTTGTTTCATCTTCAGCCATGTGGAATGCATATGCCAGGGCCCTGAGGTTAAAAAAGAAAAGAAGAAAAAGGGAGAAAAAGAAAAAAAGGAAAAAGAAAAAAAAATAGAATTGGGGTTTGTTCAGGACTCATGGCATTTGGTCATTTCTGGGAGAAAGATCTTTGATCTGGGAGCCTGGAAGGAGGAAAGTGGAAATGTTTTAGAGGCAGTACAGTGCTTGCAAAAGCCACATGAAAACCTTCTTTGTAGCTTTAGCCTTTTCATAGATGGACAGCTTCCTTATTTTACAAAGTTCTTCAGAAGCATGTTTTTTAGAGAACTTTTAACAATATTTGTTGACTGATATAAGACATAAAAATTAACGTGGATGGGATACAAAGAGCTTTTTTCAAGTGATGATTTATTTAAATTTAAACTTTATGGATACTGTTTGAAACTGGAAAAAAATCTTTTGGGGACTAGAAGATGCTTGGTTATTTAATGCAAAGAAGCTATATCAAAGGAACATTTATAGTTACAGGCTATTTGGCTTTGGGGATTTATTTTTTCCTACTGAGAAATTTTGTCTAACATCCAAAAATTTGCTTTAATTATCTAGGAAATGCAGTCAACTCCGAACTTAGAATCTAAACATAGCATAAGATAAAAACAGAGGGAAGAGATGAGATGCAGCCTAACTCCCCCCTCAATGCATATGAAAAGAACAGCTTTAGGGCTTTTTTTGACTTGCCTGATTTTCAGCCCATTTGCATACATCTGTGTAGAAATGAGCAAGACTAGCCTCTTTAAAAATTTTCTTCCATTCTCTAAATTAATAAGTTAAACAGTAGCACATTCAAGCTACCCCAGCAACCCATAGTTTTCTGCTCTTCTTAGTATGATTGGCTTCTGCAACATGAAGCGATATTCTCTCAGTGTTAGGTGTGCTATGCACATGCTATCTGCCTTAAACTTTATTGGCTGATTCCTTTCCAGCCTTACAATATTTTATGGTGTTATAGTGCCTCAGTATTGCAATGTTTTTATTCATTGTAGGATAAGAATGTTTTTGTTTCATCTAAAAATATCCCAGAACTTTACTAAACTATTTTGAGCCCTCCAAATACTGAGCCAAAATAAATCATCTTTTTGAGGTGTTGGCTCATAACGATGCACAGCAGCATCTCACAGCAGTGCCCATCAGTCAGCAGAGATATTTGTACTTGCTTCTTGGGGCAGGACAGTTGATGGATGCACCAGATAGCTTTGTGAACTAGAATGTCTTTGGGACAGGGTCAGAGAAGCATGTGATGGTTGAACATGTTCCCTGATGTCCAGTGACTGTGGTTTGAACAAAGCCCAGATTACCAGGGACTCTTTAGCAGGGCCTGTAGTGATAGGACAAGGGGTAGTGGCTTTAAACTGAAAGAGGGTAGATTTAGATTAGATATAAGGAAGAAATTCTTCACTATGAGGGTGGTGAGGCACTGGAACAGGTTGCCCAGAGAAGTTGTGGATGCCCCATCCCTGGAAGTGTTCAAGGCCAGGTTGGATGGGGCTTTGAGCAACCTGGTCTTGTGGAAGGTGTCCCTGCCCACGGCAGGGGGGTTGGAACTAGATGATCTTTAAGGTCCCTTCCAACCCAAACTGTTCTATGATTCTGGTCCCTGAAACCTCCATAGACTGTTGCAGGGCAAGGGCCTGTATTGAGAAGAAAAAAAAAAACAAAAACAAAAACAAAAACCAACAAAACTCAGTTTTTCTATGTTAATATTTTTATTTCAGAAAAGGAATCTATTCATTTTCTGTTGGTATCATTGCTTGTTCTTGGTATCAAAGATGTGATAATGTGACACCCTCTGAAGCTCCTCCTCAGCGTGAGCTTTTAAGGTTTCTGGTGCTTACAGCTGCCATTCAAGTGGATGACAGCTGAAGACAGTATATTTTAAGATGGCCAAATGTTTTTTTGGGGATCACTCAAAATATCATTTGCTTTATCTGTACTAAGTGGTGTCCATAGCTCTTGTGTACAATAAAACTATTCAATAATAAAAAAGAGATTGTATTACCTATTGTCATAATAGGGAATGATAAGAGATCGTTATTCCAAATAGAATTTCTGAATAGAAATATCATGGAAATTGTTTTAATTTTTATTCTGTTCTTGGCCGCGATTACAAAAGGGACAGTAGCTATGCTAATTTCTCTGGTTATCCTTATCTTTATACCAACCAAGGTAATTGACAGTTGATAAAGATGGGAAGTCAGAATTAGTCAGTATTAGTATTGTCTTGCAATATGGCTGATTCAGCCAAATGCTTGTTTATCTTGCTTAGTTTCTATAACATACTCATGAAAGTTCAAGAAGTTGAGGCATACAGTTTTTTTTTTTTTTTTTCCATAATGCAATTCGTCTGGGTTGCAGCTATCCCCTCCCAGGCAGAGAGGCTTTCAAACATTGTTCGCTTGGTTTGCGCTTTGTATTAAACACATATGTCTTTTCCTAACCCAGTATCTCAAACAGCATCAGAGCTCAGATGAAATGGGCTGCCCGGATGATCCTATGTGTCAGCTTTCTTGCCAGTTCAAAACTCTTCTAGACTATTCTTTTAGTTCACTGTTTGTTTTGTCTTTTTAAATGTCTCACATTAGCATGTTTTTTCACTTCTTTTGATAGCAGACAGTTTTACCACTGACTAGATCTTGCTGATAAGCAAAAGTCTTTTTTCCAAGAATCAATAAATTATTGATTTAATAAAATTAATCAATAAAAATTATTTTATTTAAACAAAATTATTCCATACCTATATGCTCCTATCTGGAGGTATGTTAATATATTTCTAGTCCATGAAGGTATTGCTTAAACATGCTGTACTTGCTTCTTTTGACTGCCAGCCATGAATATTTTAACAGAAATAATGTAAGAGGTGCACCTTCAGATGTATTGATCATTTACTTGTAGCCACAACTTTTGTTGTATAATATTCTGCAGTTTAATGCTTGTATATTTTCTTGTGTTCTGTAACTTACTGCATCACACAGACTTCTGAATGATTACTGGTTGTATTTGGTTATGGCTAATGTAATCAAACAAGTATCTCTTCTTGGAGAAAAGAAAGAGTGGGACAGACCACATTATTGTTTGTCCTTACCACTTCACCAAACATAGTGAAGCTGTGATTTCAGTGACGTGAGGCCAGTTAATGAAAGCAGGTTTGACCTTATGAACTTGAAGTATGCACTGTAGATTTGAAATCAGTTGTCCCTTTGCTTCTTCAGACTGACTTCGGAGTTTGTCAATGTTAAAATTTAATTATTTATAATGGGATTTTCAGGGCTACTGAAAAGGGGGTTTGTTTTGTTGTAGTAATTTTAAATGCTATTTTCTAAACAGCTTTTCAGCTCATCCATAATAAAATCATTGGCTGAAATTTTACAACTGAGAAGTAGTAATTTATATTTGCTTACATTGAGTCTGATTAGCTTATTTATAGTTAGAATTGCTTTGCTTATAATTGTTACTGTGTCATCCCTTCTCCCTCTGACTGTTTCTTGTTTTCTAAACCCAGATTTAGGTCGTTCTCGGGAGCTACAATATGTTTATGTGGATAACAATATTCATCTGAAAGGCCTCCCATCTTATCTGTATAATAAAGTCATTGGTTGCAGTGGGTAGGTATGAATTAATTCAGATATCTTGCATACCTGTTCCTTGTAAAATTTCTCATAAATATCTGCCTGTATGATACAACTGATTTTTTTGTGTGTGTGTGTGATTGATTCAGAACTGATGTTACTTTGAGGGGACTACTGTAGCTCCCAGTTCTGTTTTATTTTTGTAATCTTCTGTGTTAATTGCTGACTTTCAATATTTTAGCATTAAGCTGCAAAAGACAGTGCAGTTATTCTGAAGGAATTTTTAATGATAATGTAAGGCAAAAAGCTGAATCCTAGCTGCACTTAAAGGTTAGCCAAAAATGTAGGCTTCGCAGAATTTCCAGAAGTAAAGAACGAACAAAATGTTTTTTAATGTGTTGCAGCATCTATCTAGTTCTTAACTTACAGAAATGTGAGAACTTATGGGCCATATCTTGGAATGTCACATGCAGCTCCTTCATCACTTTACATTCCAGTATCAGCTTCTTGTAGGTCTTGGTACCTACTAACTAAAATAAGTAACTTTTTTTAGGAATTATGGGTTGACAGGTATATTTTTACATGTGCATTTTAAAAATATCCTAGGCTGTCTCATGTTTGTGGTTAGGATGTGAGAAAAAAGTGGTCTGTCTAGGACACTAGCTTAATTCTTTCTGCACTGACACTAGCATAAATTAGGACCAGCACCACTGATGAATGGAGCCTTACTGGTGTAAAACTGATCAGAAGAGGATTGTCCCCATTACCATCTAATTATAAATTTCTGGTATGCTCGCCCTCAGCAAATCTTGCATTAAATATAAATTCCCCCTCTACAGCCTGCACTCTACTGCAATATGTGAGACGCTGAGTCTTGGCATTTTAAGGTTTTTCTAATATTCCCGTGTCAGCTGGTTGTGTGACATTTAAATACTTGCAGTTGGATTATAATTCTGCTGAACTGTGTGCAGTCTCAAGTTTCTACTAATTTTGTTTTTCAGGAAAAATAATTTCTAGCCTTTGTTCTTTCAGAACTGATTGTAAGACAGACTAATATTAAATTGACCCTAAAGGTAGTAGAACTGTATTGATTGTGACAAAAAACACTAGTGACAATGCAGGAAATGTTCCAACAAGTTTGGTCCAACTGTCCTGCCTATTTCAGGTGATTTGGTTTTGATTTTTTTACATGTCTTTGGTTTTTTTTAACATTTTAAGGCCTTTTTTTATACTCGGTCAAAATAATTTTATCTTTGCACTGAACTTTTGTGAAGATATTACCAGTTCTTTTTGCTGTCATTACATGTACACTGCTGGTGAGGCTAGATGCTAGTATCTCTGATGGAGAGTATTATAAATCTACTATAGAAGAGACCAAAAAAGTTGCAAGTGTTGCAATGAAATTAATTCTTGTAATGCTTCTGTGGAATAAAAAAATGATAATTTTTTTCCTTAATAATAAAGAATTTAAAAAATATTTTTAGTAGGCAAAATAATATTTGTATTTCTGTACCAAACAGATATTTGCCTTTGTTGTGAAACCATCTTGAAACATCATAGATTATTTTTAAGGAAAACTTTCAACATAGGAAAAGCACTTGTCTATTATTAAGAAACCAAAGGTTTTATTTGATAATGTTCTGAGTGACGTTAAAATCGTGTAATAATGGTCATGTGAAGAATTTCTGTGTTCTTTCCAAGAAAGCATTAGTAACCAATGCAAGATTTTCATGGGTCAGGCAAGAGTTGAAGATCCAGGCTTTAGTGCTCTGTCTGGTCTTCCACTGGAGAATAAAATCTGACATGCTGCTGTTACTAACATAAAGCTAGCTTTCTGAAAATAGAATATAAATTGCATTGTGTAAGTAATGAATCTCTGTCTGGGAATCCTGCAGTCAGACTGACTGAAAAAGTCTTTTATGTAAGAGGTGATGATCTCAGCACTCAAAATAAATTTTGATCTTATTTTTTGCAGATTGGATTTCATAGTCTCCAGCTAGGTATCTGTCAGTCTTGTTGAAGGCAGCCAATAGGTGGTTACAGCTTTTTTTCCCCAGTTATTTATTCACAGCGTTCTTCTGCAGCTCTGTTTTTTCCAGCTAGTTAGACCATCCTCTATTCCACTTTTTAACCTCCATGGATTTTGTGTGGGTGTGTTTAATTTTTTTGTTCTTGCACCCAGTATTACTTGTAGGTTGAGATTCATTCCCTAATCCATCCTGATTTAAGGGTATATATCTCTTAGATTATTCCTCTTGATGGTCTGTTTTGCTAGCCTCACCCTTTACATAAAGTAGACCAAAAGGCCCAGCTCTGAACTGCAGAAACTAGTGAGCTTATGGGCGTGTCTTCTAGCTGGGTTGGTAAGGGGTTAGTCAGCTTGAAAATACAACATTATAGATTTATTTGTTGTGATAGCTAACTCGTTGGGTATGGATTGCTGGGGAATGGATTGTTGGAATACTGGATCTCTGAATTCCCAATTATATATTAACCCCATTAACGGTTTGTGGGAAATTATTAAATATTTAACAAGAGGCTTATTGACTTGCTGTTTGATGTTCATTTGTGCTTGTTTCTCTGGGCTGTTTTTCCTTTAATCAGAGGAGATGAGATTCTTTGTTATCAGAGGAGTACTATGAGATTTCTTTCACATCTGATAAGGTTGAGTGTAGTTACCTCAGTTGTAGGTCCAATATCTGGGAAGGCTGACAAATTTGTGTTTCTGTTCCACTTGTTAGGACTGGCCCTAACAAGTTGCTCTTGGCTTCAAATTTAAGTTGTCATAAACAATTCTGATTCCCCTCTTGACTTCCTCAACCTCTTAGTAAAATTTTCCTATGCGTGTCTCTTTGGTATGATAGCTTGCAACAGGGATCATGTAAAGAGTTATTATTTTTACTACAAGCTAAGTTTCTCTCTCTGGATCCAAATAACCTTCCTTCTCTTTATATCATTTGGGAAGGACAAGGCTAGTAGACTTACTAGGGTATCTTCCCACTACAGCTTAGGTTGTTCTTTTTATTTTTCCTTCACTCGCCCCCCGCCCTGCACCCTCCAAGGGAGCTCTGTGGATGGGGAAAGGTATAGCACAGAATCACCCAGTGGGACTTAAATGATATTTTTTCGTGGTTGTAGTTTGCCTCATATATTATAGTTGAGAAATCCATTACTATTCTCAACTGGTTGATCCAAGACACAGGAAGCCAACTGTTAGGTATGAAACTGCTCCCCTGTGTGAAATACTTAGTAATAATGGCATTCAGAGGCTAAATGAGATTAGTGTGTTGGCAAAGTAAGGGACGTGTAGTGCACTTGATTCACCTCCTTGGGATTGTGTTCTCACTTCTCCAGCTTTTGAATGTTATTTGAGAAGTAAAGACCTCCAGATGTCCCACAACTAGCACGTCACAGAAGGTGGGGATCTATAGAAAATGTGTGTCAACATGTATGGCACTCTGCAAGGAATCCTTGAAGGGTGCTGCACTGAAGAACAGTATCAGGCGTACTTTGGGTTGGTCATCTGGGTTTCCCCATAAGGTTACTTTTTTCTTTTTTTTTCCTAATCACTTTCTAAATGTTTTCTGTCCTTCTAGTTGTGGTTCTCCAATTCAAGTTTCAGAGGTGAAACTGCTCTCTTTTTCATCGGGCCAGTTAACTGTGTTCCTGCCAGCAGAGGTGAAATCTATAGGGACAGAAACAGATCATGTGCTGCCTTTGCAAGAACTGGCTATGAGGACCCTCTATAACACCTACTACAGGTTTTTAAAAGGTATGAAATTTCTGCATTCTTTGGATTACAGAAAGAGTGGAAGGGCTTTTCTGGCAGTGATAGGAACATTTCCAATAGCTCTTCAAAGAGCTGTGCAAGGATTAATATTTTAAAAGATTTATTTACTCAAATTATGTTTGAAATGCTGTATTAGAACAAAAATGTCCAATATCAACAAACAGACATCCAAAGACTATTTCTAAGGTAGAGTGGTGCTTACAAATGGTTTCTTTCTTGAGGACTGCATAAAGAAGGACGCTTTTTGCAGGAGAAACTCTTTAATGGAAATAGGAGATGAGAAATACAGTTCCTGAGGCAAGATTAGATGCATCAGCCAACAATGCAACTTCTTGCCAGGCAGCACACTCCTAAACTGGCAGACTTGTTATACATAAGGCAAAAGAAATGCTAGCAGCCCTTGGCCGTTTCAGTACAGCGTGACAGCTGAGCTGTTTTAGTTCTGCCCCAATTCAGACTCTTTGCTGTAAAGCGGCCCTTGGCTCATCTGGTTATGCATCATGCAATCGCATGAGTTAGCAATATCTGATGATAACCTGCAGATTCAGATTTTGTCAGATTTAGATGTGCTGTGACTCCCCGCTATTCACAGTATCTTGGGAATTCGTTGGCTTTAGCAGTGAAAGTAGAAAGTAGAAAGCAGAAAGGTAGAGAGTTACAATGGAAAGATTAGAGGGTTTATGATAAGGGGTCGCTTGTACTATGGCCACTGGAGTAAATCATAACTGCTGAACTGTTGCTTTGCCAGGAGAAGTGGACAAGGAGGTCTGCAGCAAATACGCTGTAGGGAGGAAGCTTCATGTTGAGGGGTGGTATAACCATACAAGCCTGTGCTCATAGGAAACAGCACTGCTTTCTGGAGAATGTATTTAATGACATAGAGAACATAGTAACTGACCAGTTTGCAGTTGTGTATTTTTTATATTTCTGCATATGGAGGGCAGAGGGGAGGTTTTTAGTTGTTTAGGATCAGGATATCAGCTGCACCAAAATTACACAATGACAAATGCTGTTTCATTTTGATTTGCAAAATTCTAGTCTTTGAAAAGGAGTTGGAGAACATCAGGTACAAGACCTTTTAAATCATCAGTAACTACTTTTCTCACCCAATTGACTTGCACAATAATTTCTGGAATATGGCTGTGTGAATGTGGTTCCTGAAGACGCTAGTGAAGTTTGGTTTGGGAATAGCAAGATAGCATTGCAAAATCAGTTTAAGGAAATGGTTTGTAGATGGTTTATACAAGGCTGTGAGGATTATATTTAGTTGCAGCCAAGGTGCAGAACCTGAAAAAGATGGTGAAACATTTTTTTAACTATCTTGCCTACTTCTAGTTTGTTACACTGTACTATGTAGTCTTTTTATATATTTATATATACATACACACACAAATATATATCTTATTCTGAGTGACCTTATTAAAGACGATGTGGATTACCACTGGTGACACCCACATTCCAGTGAGGCAGGGGTAATGCATAGTTCAGACAGGTGTAAGATAGTGGTGTGCTGGGGAAGCAGGTGGCACATACGATTCTAGTAGCAGATTTGATCTATTACTGCCTAAATTCGCAGTTTCAAGGGTGCTGTTAAATACTTGGCGGCTGCTAGGTAGGTATGACAGAAGCAACTGGACTACTTTTCCTCAATCTTTGCTTTGCTACAGAATGTGACCTTTTCTTTCTGACGCAAATGTACTATTCGTCATGCGTGTCATCTCAATTGAGGCTGTTGTGGTACATTGTGTATGGGGTTAAACCTTACTGCGTTTGAAAGCTGAAACTAGTGTGATAGCACAAAACTGTTTTATCAGGTACTGCATCTTGTCTTGATTACTCAGCACCTAAACTTATTCACCTGTCTTGGCTGTCTCTCAGTTTCTAGATGGAGATTAGCATGTTGGGTTTAATTTATAAAACACTACGTGGCTTGGGCCAAGCCTGAGAAAATGATTGTTCTTTCCCATGAAATGACCCTGGAGTCCTTTTTGGTGAAAATGATGTCATCTTGTAAACTGTGGGGTCACACTTAAGATATTATGAATGTATTGATCTTTTTAGAGTGGTCTCTTTGGTTGGACCTGTGAGAATTATGCTGGGCTGGATTGTATTTCATGTAATTCTAAATATTTCAGATCCCTTTTTGCTGGTGGTGGAGTTTGGCCTTTTTAGTGAGCTTAGCTATCCTGCTGGATTGGTTGCTGAAATATTTTAGTAAAATACTACTGATGTCCTTTTCAGAATTTTGTATTGTTATTAATTACTAAACACCTGTCTATAGATCATCTTTGTGTCTAAAAATGCTTTATGATATATTACTGGTTTTTATTATTTGCTTGAACTATAATATTTTCACCTGGGTATTTGGGCCCAGTTAATCTTATGCCCACAGATGCTAAACTTACACATTTAACTTTAACTTTTTGAACTTACACATGGAAAGCACTATGTGCTTCTCCCTAATTGTGGTAATTTGTGTTACCTTGTTGTTCTTTTGACTAAGTCTTAAGAATGTGAGACAGCTGATTTTATGAATTGTTCATGGATCATGCTTGTTGTGTTTGATTTTTATCATGCAGTTGTTTTGTTACAAGCCTTTTTTGTTTCTTTTCTTCTCTAGATTTGAACTTTCTGACTCCAATCTCACTACCCAAAAGCCTCTTGGAATTGCTGCACTGTCCCTTGGGACACTGCCACCGCTGCAGCCAGCCTATGTTTACCATTGTCTACCCAAAGCTCTTTCCCTTGAGGGAAACTCCAATGGCAGGATTGCATCAAGGGTAATAATACAGGAAATTACACTGGGGTTTCATTTAGGAAGAAAAACACCTTATGGAATGAAGCATATTCTTAAGGATTTTTTTTTTTCATTTAGCAGCCTTTCAGATCTAAAGCCCCTGTCCTATGATTGCATGTAAAAGCTGACAAATCTTTTATTTACAAGACAACCAGAATACTGCTGTTAGACTGTTTAACAAGGGCTACCACACTTGCTTGTTTCAGACTGCTGTAAGATAGTGAAAGGTTTTAATATGGTGGGATTGACTTGTTTGTGGTAGTGCAACATGTGCATGGCACTCCTGTACCTTGGAAAGGAAATACTGCCTAACACCAATACTTCCCCTGACAGTCTCAGCCCTGACTTCAAGAGAATGCAACCACCAAATAAAAGTGCTGTAGGATTAAAGATAGAAAAAAGCTCTAAAGCCAGAGCTTAATTAAAATGTTCTGCGGTAAAATAATCTTGTTTTTCTTTCCACGCTAATTAACTTGAGAGATGCTGTGGAAGCATTCTGCATTGTAACATACATTTTGTAGCAATACATCTTTTTTAAAATATTTCAGTTTCTATGGTTGTAGCAGTTGTGAATATGTCTGCAGGATTCACAAGTCAAGTAGACAAGCCTACACAGACTTCCTGACCTGCTGGACAGTACAGTCAGAGAAGGGACTCAAAACTGGGATATGGTTCAGAGAATATTGCCCTCATGTAGGTAAAGATTTAAAATACTTTTAAGGTGAGCACTGATTGCTTTGCAGTGATTCTTTCCCTAACCCCTATTAGTCTGAGTTGACACTGTAGCCTACCGTGAGCCATAATATCAACGAATCCACTTTCTGCAATGGAAGAGCATCATCAGAGAAATTTCAACTGCTTCTACTTGGACAAAAGTACAGTACTGTTTGAAACCTAATAAAGAAGGTTTAAAGAAAAGTCACTTGGAGTTAAAAAAACAAATGTGATGTTCAGGTTCTTTTTAGAGAATTCAAGTCAAGCCATTAGTTACAAAGCATATGCCTAAAGGTGGGGAGCAGAAAAGAAAGGTGCTTTAAAAAGGAACATTTCTGAAATTACTTGTTGGTATATATAATGCACAAGAATGCCACTTAGTTCTTGTCCTGCTGAAATCCATTGATTTGATACTATCTTTCATAAAAATAAGAAACTGTTTTTCAACAGTAGATCTTAAATAAAAAAGAAGAGACTAATTGGTGATTCAGTTTGATGGTATCTGTTTTCCACAGCTGTATCACAGGTTATTTTGCTGTGAGTTTGTGGCGTAAGAGGTATCTGGTTTGTAAGCAATTCAGCTTTATGAAATGAGAACAACTTAGTAAGTATGCCAAATCTGGACAGCAGCCAGAAGGCTGCATAAATGTTATTTTGGAAAAGTCATCTTTCTTAGAAAGATCTGATTGTAGAGATTGCATACTTCAACTTCCCATTCTTTTACACTTCAGTCGTATGTTGAAATTTAATGGATTTCATGGTGAGTAAAATAAATTGCTTCCTCATTACAGTCTTAATATTTAGAGTGGCATAAGATGTTATAATCATGCTATGAAGAATTTCTTTCAAGCATTGAACAGTATAATTTTCTAAGAAAGTGATGGAAAACTACTTGCTGGTCACTAAATCCTTATATTATCTGAAATAATCCAACAATGCGAGAGTTTGGACTACAGTAGAGAGCTCTACTTTCTAATTAATTGCTAAGCATTGCTTATTGTAGAACTTACAGTTATGAGATTACAGACATATCAGTAGACACCTTTAGAAATTATTGAAGTTAGGACTCAGCAAAAACATACTTTAGGGCTATTTTGGAAGAACACTATATTAACATTCTAAAATATATTAATTGAAAATATATATTTCTGCATGGTTTTCACTTGTTTAAAAAATGGTTATCATTCCTTCCCTTAGACAAGAATGTACCGTGTTCTGCAAAATGCCTTAATGAATACAGTCTTAAGTAGCTGACGTTTGATGCAAATCCACAGAAAATGAGATCTAAACAGAGTAGCCTGTCATCCTTATCCCTGTAGCTCGTGCACTTGACATGGTAAGATTATGTGGAATTGTAGAGGTGTGATAGCTGGTTTAGAAAGACGTGAAGGACAAGTTTTCTGTTCTAAAGAGCTTACAGTGACCATGAAAACTCACAGAGTAGGGATCCTGAACGTTTGAATAGCACTGATTAGCACATGCCACATCTATGCCAGTAACTTCTGTCTGGATTTCCGTATCGCATTCTGTATCCTCTTATAAGAAAGTATAGTTAAGTGTTGCACTGGATTTCTGTATCTGAAAAAGCACAGATGACATGAGCACTGGGTAAAGTGTGATTTCTGGGTTAGTAAAAAACTGATCTTAACATTTTTAAAGCTGATATCTAGGTCCCTGCCAGGATGGGGGCAGGAGGAGGGTCACAGTGAGGCTAGTATCATGCTTTCATGTTGCCACCCCTGCTGTAGTACCTGGCATAATGCGACAGCACTGCCGGTCGATAGTCCTTTCTGAAGATCTGGGCCCAGTTTGTTCACTGGGCTGAACCAAAGGAGGACACTGGCCTTCAGTTATTTCATGCCTACAAGTAGTAATTTAAGAAACACATGAGCAAAGCTGAAGCAAAGAATTACCCAGCTATTTTCCTTTTAGCTGTTAAATCTACTGGCTATAACACCCAGCCACACCCTCCACAGAAAGAAACCCCACACGCTGCTTCTTGAAACTGAATACATAAGAAACCAGGAAGGTTTTTGAGAACCCCTGCCGTGTTTCCCTGCATTTGTATCAGGCACTCACAGAGCAAATGAACCTGCTTTTTCTGATGTGTTGGGATCAGCTAATCCTGTATTTTACAAACCAGCATGTTGTCTGCTGTGGAAAGGGCCAGGAGCTTTAATCTTTACTGACAACTGTTCCCCCCCCCCCTTTTTTTTTTCTAGGAGGACAACTGTTAGTTTTGTGGCATACTGCTGCTCCACCCAGTGTCTGCAGACTTTTGACCTACTGAGTTGATAAACATTTAAAACTACTCAGGAGTGCTGCCAGTTTAAAGCTGCATTAGACGTCATATCCCATTGGTACTGGAATACTGTGTGTGTGCGCGCGTGTGCCAAAGCAGCAGAAGTGCCCGGTCGGGAACACTAAGAGGCACTTAAATCCTGCCCTATCAAATTTGGATGAACTGCAGAAACTTTTCGGAAGTGTAAATACCAGGCTTTTAAAAGTATTAACTTCTCTCTCCTCCAAGACAGCATACAAACCAAACAAATTCACAAGCTCTGACTTCAGGAGGATTTCCAGTATATTTCAAATGTGGCTGTCTTCAGGTTGATCCATTGCATCATTTGAGGCAGTTTTCATTCCTCTAACAGGGAGGAAAAAAAAAGGTCCAGTTATGACAAGCCAGTTTTCACTTATTTGTCCCCTCATCCTCATCACCCCTACAGCTGGATTCAGGTGCATAGATCTAAGCCTACAGAAGCCTTTGAAGGGTCCCAGTGACTTTCCTGTAGAACTTAGCTTTTCTTTTCTCCCCCTCATAATATTTTCCTCAGCAGAGTTATCCCAGTTGTATACCAAGTCTCTGACAGTCAACTGTGCTATTTAAATCCACGTATTAAAAGCCGATCTTTCTTTCTGGTGTCATTAGAAGTCACAGTGATTTAATTGGAGTAACCAGGATATGACTGGAGACTAAAGATCCTGTTTCAGTAAGGAAGGCCGGTACTGATGCCTACACTAAGTGGTCTTGCTCCAGCATGTTAGAGGGTGTGTTTTCTTTATTTTCATTGCTTGAGTTTTTTATTTTTAAAAACACTTCCCCTTCTGCTTCTTTTGAGTTCTTCAGGAAGAAGACTTTAAGTACAAAGTTACTTGAAAAAAATAGTAATATGATAGTAAATATTTATCTATATTTATTACATTTTTACAATTGCAGACTATAGATCTGCAAAGAGTTGGTCTTCATCTTTTTCTAGATTCAGCATTTGGCTGATTTGTGAAAGTGTGTCAGGGGAGTATGTTAACCTCGGAGAAGGCTGGAAATCGGGGGGGAGGTATGTGTATCTCCACGCAGAGGTATATATGCATACACAGATATCTTCACAGAAGGGCTGTACCATTTGTTTTCGTATATTAATGGCAGATTTAGCGCAAATTTCCACTCGCTGTCATATTTGTGGGAATCCTTTTTTGTTAGATCTTGTTCATTTTAAATAAAGGACAAAGGATGGAAAAAAGGCCCAAAATGTCTGCATGACTTAAAATTTTAATTTTACACTGAAACAGTTTATACAAAATAGCCCCTCTTGACTTGTTTTGGAATATATAATTTTTTTAACACAATGTGTGGGGTTTTTTTACTTTCTATTTCTTAGGTATAATCTACTTGTTGATTTAGCACAGTGTGCTACTCTGTGCAGTAGGTAGTTACAAGCTGAAATAGATATGAATGAAACAGTTTGTTGTAAAAATGGCAAGATAAAGAGACTTATTTGGTAGCATATTAGCATATGTTGTGGTGAGGTGTGCATACTTTGAAGGGAAGAGGCATTAAAATGTTTTCCTTTTGCCAAAGAAGCATTTGTTCCCGCTGCAGGATTCCTGGCATCTCTTCAATAAATAGAGTATCTTAAGAGCTTAAAAGAGTACCAAAAAGGCAGTTTTTGAGGGTGGAATTTTTAGGTTGTACATGTTACTTGTAAAAGCTTTGCTGGTTTTATTGGGTTGGTTTTAGAGAGTTGAATTAGCATTAAGAAATGTAGAACTTAATCCTTCGGGAATGCAGGTATCATCTACTGTTTAAGAATTGTGAAACTCTCTAAAATAAATCCTATTTATTAAATCTGCTTTGCAGTAGGGGAAAGAGCCATGTCCAAGCAGACTTTGTACTACTGGATTTCTGACTCTGTCATTTCACTCATTTGTTTCAATGTTGGTATCCCCAACAGGCTTTCCCACCCAGCGGGGTTTACCACTGAAGCAGCAAAATGAATCTTCAGCTTTTTTCTTTTCCTTCAGTACTACACAGCTGAGATGTAAATTGCCCATGTATAATTATACCTATATCAGAAATGTGCAAGTGTAGTACAGAATCCATTTTTTAAATGGATGATAAGAGAACTATGGTAGTGTTACAAATACTAATTTTTGATACAATACTCTGATCAGGAATTTTCACTGTTATTTTTACTGTGGCTTCCCCTGCCTTTGAAGGAGATGTTTTGTTGGAAGTTTTGTCCTCTTCTTATAGCAACTTCCAGACTTTAAAACAACGTTTATTTCTGAATTAAGTCTGTAAATACTATTTTGCAGTTAAATCTTTTGATCAGCTAAACGCCAATGCCTTCTGTTTTATTAGGAGTCAGATAGTAAGAGTGGAGCTTGATTTTTTTTTTTTTAATTATTTATTTTTTATTTTCTTCCTTCTTCCCATAATTATTTTTTATTGAGTTCATATCAGGCTCTTTATTATTGTCTACAAGTGCAGTTCAGAAGAAATTTAGTCTGTTCTATAAGCAGGATGAATCTTAACTAACACTTTATTAGATGATATTTCAAGAATGGAATGTTCAACGAATAAATGACTTAAACACGCAATTGAAGCTGAAATGTCATACCCTACTTTTATAAAACAAGGAAGATTTATTGAGTTCATATCAGGCTCTTTATTATTGTCTACAAGTGCAGTTCAGAAGAAATTTAGTCTGTTCTATAAGCAGGATGAATCTTAACTAACACTTTATTAGATGATATTTCAAGAATGGAATGTTCAACGAATAAATGACTTAAACACGCAATTGAAGCTGAAATGTCATACCCTACTTTTATAAAACAAGGGAAAGGAAAGTCAATATATAGACTGAAAATGCAGCTTAAATTCATGTTTCTGAGGTTTTTTTTTGATACGAACAGTGTTTGTATTCATCTGTATCTTTGGGTGATATTGTTCTAGATTAAAATAACTCCATTCTCACTTGTCCAAATTTTTCTACTGTAAGAGTATTTCATAACCAGCTAACATGAGAGCCAGCTACGCAAGTTGTAGAGGGGAGAGGGAGCTTCTTGCTGATTGAACTGTGCTTCACTTGTTTTTCAATACAAGGTGTCACAATACTTGGACTTCTTTTTAATGCATTTATTTCTAAGTAATTTTTGATTGCTTGCTCTTGTTCGTCAGGTTAGTTCACATTGAGATAATTTTTTCCTTGTACTGCAAAAAATCTGGTTCCAGCAGTTGAAAAAAAAAAAAAAAAAAAAAGACAATTTTTAAAGGGTTTTTTTGTCATAAAAGTAGATCGTAACACTTTGCTTAGGGTGGGAGCAGGAGAAGTTTCTGGGTTTTTTTTCTAGGCATTATAAAGAGAAAGGTGCAGGAGAGAAATCGGAGAAGACAAATCTTTAACCCATTGATACTGCTATGAAAGTTTTCTGAGTAAAGATTAACTCCGAATGTGATTAGGGAGCACAGGCATAATTTTTGTTTCTGTTGTGATAACAGGCACCATGTTAATAAAATTGGGACTGTACTGCTTATAGAGATAACTTCTTGTTCTGCCACAAAGGAAACAGAGGAACCTCTGGCTTTGTTTAAAAACACTACTTGAGCGGTTTTACCGTGGACACTGTTACATTTGGAGCACTGTTCTTGGGAACCTTCCTGTTATTCCCCCAAAGGATCAGAAATCCAAATGTCCTCCCCTGTGCGAAGAACAAGGTCTAAAATCAAGAAGTGTGTATTTTTCTGTCTTGGCCTGATGCTTCTCTTGGGCTCTTACTGAAGTTCATTACAAACCTTCTATTTACTTCGTTGCGGTGAGGTTAAGATCTTGCACTGAGCGGAGCGGAGCTGTTTATTGCCGAGTTGGCTTCAATTCTTATGTATCGAATTCTGCTGAATCCCTTTTTCTGGCATGAAGGGAGGACGAGACTGTTGTAACACCCATGTGGTAACAGCGTGTCAGGTTTTACTGACATCACAGCCAAGTTGAAGACTGGAGAGTGACAAACCTTTCACTAGAGAGGATGACTTTTTTTGAAGGCCACTGTGGCCCCATCAGAGTACCACTGATAACAGAAGAACTTTTGCCTTGATGTCAGTGGAGGATGGATCAAGTTTTAATTGATGAGAGAGAAGAATGTGTTTTACCATCTTTGTATTTCTTGCAAAAACTGGGACAATGACACTGAAGTCCGTGCCTGCTGTTACGCAGCCTCTCTATCTGCAGCTGAACTTACCTAGTTTTCCGAGACATAACTATCTTTGCCTCTTACCTCCCTCTTAATACTACTCACATAGTTGCAAAATGTTACAGTTAACTTGTGATGGAAGAGGCTGAGTAAATGGAATCCAGAGTTTTTATTACTTTTTGTATTACAGACCTATTTTCTAAGAGACCAAAGGTCTGGTGGAAAGAATTGGCAAGGTTCATGTGAAGTCTTCATTGCTTTTGCTTTTATGTGCCCTTCTTTGGATTACAACTTAAACTTGGATTGCAACTGAGTTTGTTCTATGTCTGTTGAAAGCATATGTGTATTGCTTTTTTGCTCTGTATTAACCAAATGTCACTTAGTGTGAAGGTGAGCTTGCTAGATGTTTTATTTAAAGTTAGTGGTGCAATTTATTGTATGTGCTTGTTAATAAACTATATTTTTGGATAGAATTACAGTCCATTAACGTTACCTAAATTCTTGCTCCTGGGGCTATTAAGCTATGTTAGGATGCAGCATTTAATTTACATTTCAGTTCATTTGCATAGTAATTAACTAATAAGGCTTTTGTCCCAAGGCTGGAGAGGTGGGGTGAAGACACTTCTTAAAACACTACCAAGCCCAAAACACCACTTCAATTCACTTAATCCCTTTGTCTCAGACAATGTAGTTCACCAGATCTTGCATAACAGGAACAAAACCCTTATGGAAACATTACTTTAGACCCTTCTATGGATTGATCAAAAGAAAAATAACTTTTGATAGGGCTGTATTAAGTGCCACCCTAATAGTCCATAGATGTGGTTGTGGTTCATGTATTATTTACTAAGCAGCATTCAGCAGCTTTTTTCCCCTCATCTAACAGATACCATAGGAACAAGGTTGCCAAAAATAAGTAGAAATTAAGCAGCTGTTTTTCCTGTTATTTCACTCCTTGCTGTGCAGCATTTTGCTTCAGTCAAAGCTGCTACTCTGTCTCTCTTCTGATGAGTTCTTTGAGTTGGATGCTCTCTGAATTACTGTATGCGTATTGGGTGAATACTAGCATATCCATTCTTAAATGAGACCTATGTTGGTCAAGGTGACTCTGAAAATCGGTTATAATGGATGCCTTGAAGGGTTTCGATGCCGTTCAGACTTCCATGATGCTTATTTGCTACTAAGTTTACAATGACTTGCCTTTTTAGCATTTTACAAATGACAACATAAATTTTCCTACCCTTGCAATGTCAGTAACCTCTGTTTGTGAGGCAGCAGGAGGAGAATGCAAGTCCCTTAAGTGAGATGGGGGGGGGAGAACAACCCTTAACCTATAACTTTTACCAACCACTGCTGTGTCCCTTATGAATTAGAAAGAAACAAATGGGAGAGCTTAACATCCTTTTCCTTCGCAATTAAAAGTACTTGGCGTAAATGCAAGCTAAGTGGAAACTTC